GCCCCATCACCGCGACGTGGTTGATCCCGTCCGTCCCGTCTGTTACAGCTGTGCCCTTCCCTTGGTTTCTCCCGTCTGTTACAACTGTGCCATTTCCCTCGTTTCTCCTGTTTGTTACAGCTGTGCCACTTCCCCTGGTTTTGCCCTCTGCGCCGCCGGTGCCACAGGGCGGGGCGGCGTAGCTGGAGACGAAGGCCCCGGCCTCCAGGTTGACACGGACGACCTCGCGCGAGCTCCCGCAGCTGAGCAGCTCCGCGCGGAAGCCGTCCAGGGCGAGCCCGCGCTGGGCGTGGGGGACGCGCAGCCGGTCCACAACGGCCGCGGCGTGGTGGAGGGTGAGCTGCCGGCCCTCCCCCCGCAGGGCGAATTTGCGGCAGTCCCCCGAGAGGGCCACCCCGGAGAGGATGTTCAGGTCCGCGTTGAAGCTGAACTTCAGGCTCCGCGCGTTGACATCGAAGCAGCGGAGACGGTAGGGGTAGTCCCCGGCGGCGAAGAGGTGGGTGCCGTTCGCGCAGCGGAAGAGGCAGCGGGTGCTGTGAGGGAACTCGAGGTCGTGGAGCAGCTCCAGCCCTCGTTCCCCCACTGAGGACCCGTTGGGGCGTCGACGGCGCTCACTCAGCCATTCGGGGAGGGATTTCCCCGCCGTGAGGTTGTAGACCTTGACTTTGTTATGTAGGGAAACTTGCATGTGGCTTAGAGACATAAAGACACACATTGTGAAGGAATTAGATTTATGGGGAAAGATAGATGAAGTAAAAGGAATAGGTTTCATAAAGGAAATTACTTCTGTTAGACGCCTGAGGGTGTTGCATGACGTCAAAACTCTTGCACCATCCCTTTTTTTTTTTCCTATATTTTTTGAATTCACCTTTCAGGGCAAATCGACTCCTATTCTACATTCATACTTAATAAAACTAGTTGAGAATGTTTACACATCGTAGTTTACATTTCTTTACTAGTGATTAATCTGTCTGTTTGTTTATGCGGTAGCTTTCGCGGTTTTTCTTTTTATTTTTGAAAAATATTTCCACTGGATTCAATATCCGCATAAGCAAATATTTTTTTTCCCGAAAATGAAAAAGAATTTACTCTATTTTAAGATTTTGATCTTCATTCGTTTAGCCTTCTATGGCGGTGGCTTTCTGTGTATGCTTTTCATGCAGAATGGTAAACCCATGTATCGGCCATTGCTTCTTCACACCAAAGGTGGGAGGTTGAATATATGCAGACGATATCGTCGTAGCAGCAGGGGTTTTTGGTTTTTTTTCTGTCTTTTTATACATTTCTGGATCCAATACGGTTGATTGTTCGCTCTTAAAATTTCTTTCGTCGGCGTTGTGTGGGATGTAGATAAAATTGTCCGCCATCGCACCATCGCGCACGCAGCCTTGAAAGCGAACGCGACCGAAAATATGGCAGTTTTGGACAACCGGATGCTGAGCAAAAGAGGGCTTTCCTATCCGTGCGGAAAACTCCATGTCCTCTTCGTCCATTTCCTCAAGGTTGTCAAGTTCTTTCGTTTGGATAAGATACTGTGCCTTCACAGCATCCGGCGCGATTAGCCATTGCTGTTCGACTTTTATAATTTGATCTTCGCGTGGGCCAGACACCAGCAAAGCTTCCCGCCCGCAGCCAGCGATCACGCATTGTCTAATCGTAAACTTTCCCGCCATTCCGTGCGCATAAATCCCGATTTCCCGAATAGACTGAATCTGAGAAGCGATAATGCATGTTCCATGACATCCTTGGTATATAATAATCCCTAGTTGTGTGTTTCCGATAACGCACTCCGTAATGCTTATATCGGCGTTATCGCAAAACACTCCAATCGTTGTAATCGCCGACGATGACAGGGAATCTGACGAAGAAAAAGGAACCTGACAAATTTTGCGAATCCTATTGACGAATTCTCTTTGAAGGGATGATGACTTCTCCATGTGGGAGTCGTCTTCAGTGCCTTCAGGGTGATTTCGTCCGCCGAAAGACTCGTTTTGACGCGACCGTATCGGCTTTATTCCTGAAGGAAGATGCGCGATCGACTTTCGTTTGCTTTGATCGCCGCCTGGAGAGATGAAATTTCTCGTATTTTCGCTTAGGCCCTCCAAAATGCAGCTGAGAAATTTGATTGCGCATCGTGGGTAGGCGTAGACCACGTAGCGCCACCCACCGTAGACCACACAGCGCTCTAAGCTCGCCTCTGAGAACGGATGGCCGACGACTGCGGCCTCAGAATGTGAAGAAAGCAGCGATAAATCTTGCGCAGGGATGCCGATTACACAGTGAAATAAATGGCAGCGAACGAGAGGGCCTAGATGAACCCCTAAAGTCAAGCAAATCCCCCTCAAATCAATACCCATGGGCGGATTATCGGCATTATTCATTTCACTATCCTTTTCGTCAGCGGAGATGTCGCCATCGCTGGCGGAGTCCCCTTGTTCGGATCCGCTGCCATCTTTGTTTTCATTATCCTCTTCGTCGGGAAGCTGCGTGTAGGGTTTAAGCAGTTGAAGTTGCTCGTGTCTTTCGCCTTCTTTTTCATCATTGGGGGCAGAGTAGCAAACAATGACATGAGAGGCGAGGATAGGATAGCGTTCCGCGTTCTGCGGCGTCGTTGGCGTGATGATATTTCCGTAAAGCTGCGAGCTCATGATTCCACATGTACTGGTTGAATCTCCAGGGCCACTCGTATGATGATTCACCGACGTCATCAACGCAGTGTATTCAAGCGCGTCTTCGTTTTTCACATCTGCTGAAGCGTCATCGGAAACCGCTAATCCTTTAGCCGGGGGGTACGTAAACCACGGGCCGATCCGCCTGCCAGCCTTCGGAATGAAATTTGAGGAAGTCGCATGCGTAGGGTAACCACCATTTTTCCCACGCG